AGAAAATATATGTATAATGTGTATGAACAAACTATCTTTACGTGGAAACCTGAAAGGGAGAAAACCACGGGACTTTTTAGGCTAATGTCCAAGCCCTCTCTTTCTCATTAAGACTCTCCTCACTATTACAATGTACAAGCTCCCATTAATGGAGTATTGAGCTATCTAGAGAGAAATAAGGAAGAAGAAGCTAAAAGAGGATCCCTAAACGTGTGGGAAAACTCCATATTTATAGGGGAAAGGGAGTAGGGGAAAACCTACCCTAATGGGCCAAGTGGGCCGAAATGGGCCCAAAGGCCGAAACAGGCCTAATAAGCTAAAACGGACCTCACTGATCAGGCTCCGTACTACGTACAGTCTTGGGCTCCTGAACAGTAACGGATCGGGATAATATATCCCAACACAAGTCCCCCAGTTTCTTGAGTAGTGAGCGTGCGAATCTGCTCGAGAAAGTAAACTCTTGCCTACGCTGTTCATGGCCTTCTTTGCACATGGCCTCGTCTTTCGGAGCAAAGACTTAACAATGCCTTTGCCTCGGTGCGAGGGATTGGGGCGTTCGGCCCACGGATGCCCGACCCGACTTCCTTTGGACGGTCGTCCCTAGAAGCTCGGCTTAGATGTGTCTTTGATTTTGATGCACGACCCCAGTTGCAGCTCTCAGAGTCGTCATTCAGCGACAATCCTCAGCTTATTCCTAGATACGTTCGACCTCCAGATGCTAGGCTTGGTCTCCTTGAACGTTCGGCCCCTTGATGGCCAGCCCGCTCGAACTCTAGTTGTTGGGGCTCGGGAAATTTCCTTCTGGACGCTCGGCCCGACATGCTTAGGAAGATTAGTCCCTAGAAACCCGACCCGACTTCCTTTGGACGTTCGTCCCTAGAAGCTCGGTCTAGATGTGTCTTTGCTTTTGATGCACGACCCCGGTTGCAACTCTCGGAGCCGTCATTCAGCGACAATCCACAGCTTATTCCTAGATACGTTCAGCCTCCAGATGTTAGGCTGGGTCTCCTTGGGACATTTCTACCTCAACATGCTCAGCCTGGGCATGCTCGGTCTCAGGATGTGCTGTGCGTCTTAATGCCCTCGGCCTCCAGGGTGGAGAAGCTCGTCTCCCGACCCTCGGCCTCCAGGTAGAGAAGCTCGTCTTCGGGCCCTGGACCACTGGATGGAAGATCGTCTGTAAAAATCCCTGCATCCGAGATGGGGATGATCGTCTCACGACCCTCGGCCTCCAGGGTGAAAGATGCTCGTCTTCAGGCTTTGGCCTCTGGGTGGAAGTTGCTCGTCTCCAAGCCTTTGGCCTTTGCGTGGAAGATGCTCGTCTCTAAGCCCTTGGCCTGATGGTCTTCTTCAGACGCTCGGCCTCTGGGGAGGAGATGATCGTCTCACGGCCCTCGGCCTCCGGGGTGAAAGATGCCTTTCTTCAGGCTTTGGCCTTTGGGTGGAAGATGCTCATCTTCAAGCCCTTGGCCTTTGCGTGGAAGATGCTCGTCTCTAAGCCCTTGGCCTGATGGTCTTCTTCAGAAGCTCGGCCTCTGGGGAGGAGATGATCGTCTCACGGCCCTCGGCCTCCGGGGTGAAAGATGCCTTTCTTCAGACTTTGGCCTTTGGGTGGAAGATGCTCATCTCCAAGCCCTTGGCCTTTGCGTGGAAGATGCTCGTCTCTAAGCCCTTGGCCTGAGTGGTCTTTTTAAGACGCTCGGCCTCTGGGGAGGAGATGATCGTCCACGGCCCTTGGCTCTTGGGGTGGAAGATGCTCGTCTCCAAGCCCTTGGCCTTTGGTGGTCTTCTTTAGACGCTCGGCCTCTGGGGAGGAGATGATCGTCCACGGCCCTTGGCTCTTGGGGTGGAAGATGCTCGTCTCCAAGCCCTTGGCCTTTGATGGTCTTCTTTAGACGCTCGACCTCTGGGGAGGAGATGCTCGTCCCCAAGCTCTTGGCGCCAAGGTTCTTTTTGAGCATCATCTGTTATCAGTCGTTCCGATTATGATCTTCATCTGCATAATGAAGATAGTAATGCAGCCAAATGGCCAGACAACATGTATATGTGTACACCTTTTTTTTTGTCGGCCAGGGGCTCTTCCGGGCATGACGGTCGGCCTAAGGGTACGATGACCCTCGGCTCGACCTGTCACCTAGTCATTAAATTAAAATGACGGTGAAATTTATCACAAGAGCTTCGCTTGGCATTATCTAATTTCGGGATATCTGGATCCCTAATAAATAATGGTGATAGCAAATTAAACTAATAATAATAATAATAATAATAATAATAATAATAATAATAATAATAATAATAATAATAATAATAATAATAATAATAATAATAATAATAATAATAATAATAATAATAATAATAATAATAATAATAATAATAATAATAATAATAATAATAATAATAATAATAATAATAATAATAATAATAATAATAATAATAATAATAATAATAATAATAATAATAATAATAATAATAATAATAATAATAATAATAATAATAATAATAATAATAATAATAATAATAATAATAATAATAATAATAATAATAATAATAATAATAATAATAATAATAATAATAATAATAATAATAATAATAATAATAATAATAATAATAATAATAATAATAATAATAATAATAATAATAATAATAATAATAATAATAATAATAATAATAATAATAATAATAATAATAATAATAATAATAATAATAATAATAATAATAATAATAATAATAATAATAATAATAATAATAATAATAATAATAATAATAATAATAATAATAATAATAATAATAATAATAATAATAATAATAATAATAATAATAATAATAATAATAATAATAATAATAATAATAATAATAATAATAATAATAATAATAATAATAATAATAATAATAATAATAATAATAATAATAATAATAATAATAATAATAATAATAATAATAATAATAATAATAATAATAATGTAAATACGAAGCATTTTAACTAAAAAGCATAAGCAAGAGCACTTAGCTTTTAGAAGGGATGCTCGGCGGCTACGAATTTCCGAAATTGTTTTGATTCCTTTTTGTTTGACTTGATCAACCTTGCTCAAGAGCCAAGGACTTCAATTATTCAGCCACCAAGTCCAGACGTACGTCCAAGCCAAGAGGGCTCGGCTGAGTGGAGTTCCCCAATTTTGACTTGGTCAAAATTCTTTAAAGAAAATTGGCTCTCCACTTCCCGCCGGTGGAGATGGCAGTCGCAGCAGAGCAAGGGCGGCCCGATCAGCTTATCTCCAGCGGAAGCTCGACCAACTACTGAACATCCTTATTCTGAGCTCAAAAACCACCATTAATGGCGGAATCATGAAGCCCTCCACCGGCATATCCCACAGGTCGCGTCGGCCGAGTCATGGAAGCTCGAACGGCGACCGACCAGGTGGGGGAGTAACCGGCAGTTGACCGGCGATGACGGCGGCGGTGTGGTGATGCTCTGGCGGCGGCGATGATCCGGCCGCAGTGTGGTGATGCTCTGGCGGCGGCGATGCTCCGGCGGCGACGATGCTCCGGCGGCAGCAGCAAACAGAGCACGATCCAGACAGCCCAGATCTTCCAGAATCCTCATTTTCCCTCTTCCTCCTGTTCAAATCAGTAGTTTTTCCCCTAATTGCTAAATATTGTATCAAACTTCACATAAGATATATGTTTCAACATTTTATTTGAATATCTATTATAGAAATAATATTTATTTTGCGGTTGTAATTTTTTTAATTTTAATTATAATAATTTTGATAGTATAAGAATAATATTGAACATAATAAAAGTCAAAACTATATGTTTGTATATTGGCCCACGGGCCAACCCGCAACCTGTTGGGCCAACCCACTTAAACCCACAACCCATGTGGGTGGACCTGCAAAACCCACAAACAAAATGAGTTAGATATGCACAATCTTAACCTACCAATATATGAGGTTTCAACTTTCAACTCATTTTGATAGCTCTAGAAATAAGTTTATAAGACCATTTGTAGTGGTAAGATATTAGGAGTCTAAAATGCTAAAAGTGGAGATTTTAGACTCCTATTTTCTTACATTGGAGAGCATTATAGGAGGCTAAAAATGGAGATGGGGAGGGAGGAGTCTAATTTTAGCCGGCCTATTGACTCCGGTGGAAGTGCTACTTTGCCAAAAAGAAAGGAATCATGAGTGGTGGGTAGTTAGTGGGCTCCATAAAATAAAACCCCATCTTTCTTAAAATGGTTATAATTTGTTTTTTTCATAAATCAAATTTAGAAAAAAAATATCAAAATTCATAATGTTTTATACTCTTTCATATGACACCAATATCACAATATGTAATATATAAAATGAAAAAAAAATCTGAAATTTTAACTGTTGAAATTTTCATGAGCCCAAAATAAAATACAAAACACAATTTTTTAATTCGTGTAGCCTTCACAAATAACTTAATATTCCGTAATCGAACTTTACTTGAACTAAGTTCATTTTTTGTTAACCGAAAAAATGTAAAAATTTTTTAATGAAATTTATTTATTTTTACATCGAAATGTGTATTTTTACTTCAAAATTATTCAAGGATTAAATTAAAAAGAAAAATATTACTTATAATAATTTAATTAATGTTTTACTAAATTGATATGTAAAAAAATGTGCAGAGTGTATTTTATCGACGGTGCTGGAATGCAGAGAAACAGGAGTCAAAACACTGTTTTCGTATGGACGGAGTCCATTTTTAACATTTAGACTCTCTCACCCCTCCAAATGGTCTAACGTAAGCATAGATCTATTTTGGGACTGCTCATTGCTCAATGTACGGTTACATATACCCTTTTTATCGTTAATGAGAAACTGAGAATACATCTTTCCCCACCATATTTATTATCCTAACGCGATGGTACGAGTCCTATGAGATAACTGCTGAAGAAATATGAGGTAACAATTCATTGATCATCTTTCTGCCATCTCTTCAGCAAGTTACTCCAAAGAAGTGTTAAAGCTTTACGTATATCAAACACTGCATTGAGATGTAAGGAGAGAGTTCAAGTCCGCCAATAAAATCGGTACAATTAAAAGGTTTTTTTTTTCAAGAATGGGTGCTTTACAAATTACCATGTACAAAAGGGCACTTTTTGCCCATATTAACAATTACAAGTAGCTAAATGAACAAGAGTGGAATTGAAATAATACAGCTTCCTTTTCTGTCTTATATGGCATTGGACGTTATGTTTCGCCCTTTATCACCAGAAGCTTCAAGCATGAAATGGGCCTCTTTCTCAAGATGACCATTGATCAGGAACTGTGAGAAAATAGGTTGTCATTGCTTTTCTGAATCTTTTCTTGTATTGTTTTGGAGAAACTACTGTGGGAGATGCGTTCTTTGGGCCACCGAGTATGCCCGACGCCTTCACCCACGTCTCTAAGTGTTTGTCCCACGTATATTGTCTCATGTAATCTATGATCCCCAACACAAGCTCTTTCCGTTCTTCGTCCACCCCAACCAACAGAGAATAATCCATCACATCAACAGACTGGTAGAACAAGGAAACACCATTAGAGACAGCCATAATATCATCCTCTATTTATTTAATTTTGGAAAGAAATGCAATTTTTTTATAATATGGACCTACAAACAGTTTCTGAGAGCTTTTTTCGATTTTCTTATCAAAGCTTTATTAGATCTATTTTGCAGTCTTTGGTTCCCAGATGAGAAACAAAGATGAAAGAGTGAGAAGAAAAAAATAAGAAGAAATGATGACAAAAATAATACTATCAGCCATTAAATGGACAAAATGGGACCTGAATCTGATTTGGACAAAAAAGAGACTAAATATAATGTTAAGACTGAAATGCCCCTCATGGCAAATACCCTAATCCTTTTCTCTATCGTCTCTTATGCAGCATTGTAGCAATGCAAGCTATCGGCTTCCACTACCAGCCGCCGCCATCTGCACGCCCACTCCTTCTCCACGCCGCCTTCTTCACATCATCACCATCTCCATGCCGCTGCAGCCACTCCACACAGGCATCGCAGGTGCGCCACTCTTCTGTTTTCATCTTTCTCTTCTTCAGAGGAAAACATCAATGGAAAACATCAATTACTGGCAGCGATAGGCATCGATTGGGGGTAAGGTTAGTCTGGTGATCATGGGGTTTGGGGGTGGGGCAGCTGTTCTACAGGGGCTGGGGAGGGGGGCTGGGGCTGAGGAGAGGCTGGATCAGGCTGGGCTGGTGGGGGCTGGAGAGGAGGCTCGGCAGGAGCGATGCAAGGTGGCGGTCACTGGACGGACGGGGTGGTGGTCACTGGCGGTAGTCATGGGAGGGGTGGGGCGGGTGGCATCTGGACGGGGGCGGCAGCGGCAGTCACTGGACGGGGCAGGGTCACTGGACGGGCGGGGCGATGGTCACTGGATGATGGTCACTAGCGTTTGTCAATGAGGCGTTGGTTACCGCTGGACGGAGTCAGGTGGGATAACATCAGTAAGGGTGTAATGGTCATTTGAGTCCTTTTTTAGTCTCTTTTTTGAAATTTTTTAAAATACATCTTATTTTTGTCCATAACTTCTCCATTGGTATTATTTTTTGTCAAAACCCCATATAAGAAATCCGGTAGATGATATGTATCCATGTGGGAATAGAAAAGGAGAAGGTTTTAGAGAAAGTTGTTTTTGAAAAAGAAAAAAATATAGAGATATTACCCGAAATAGGACTAAAAGAGTTTGAAAATTCCAAAATAGGACTGCCATGTTTTTATTCCCAAAATAGGACTAATTACTGCCATGTTTTGGCTATATCAGACCTTAAACATGACAGTATTTTCCAAACTTGGCAGTAATTACTCCTATTTTGAGAATAAAAACATGATAGTCCTATTTTGGAATTTTCAAACTTTTTTAGTCCTATTTTGGAATTTTCAAACTTTTTTAGTCCTATTTCGGGAACTTTCCCAAAATATACGTGTTTGTAAAACAATCATGCAAAAAACAAAGAAGCGAATGTAAATGGAAGCCCAAAAACACTTCCCTCCTCTTCTCTATTTGTTCCCATGGGGAGAGTAACCAAGGGTATTTGGCAAGATGCAAACTGAAAACGCATGCGAAAGTAAAGTAGTAAGGTGTTTACATTGTTTGACTTGACTTTTTAATGTAAACCATATTACCACAAGACTTTTTTTCAAACATTTTGAACTGTTCTATGTTTATCATTTTGCTTTGGGAAGTACAATACTTTATAGTTTATATTGTAGTTAATATAAAACAGTGCAAATACTTCATATGGAAAGTGTTTGCTTCTCTAGACTTTGTGTGCAATCAATTTGCACACAAAACTCTTGTGCAAATTATCATAAGTGATGGGCCCTACTTGTGCTTTCTTTTTTGTCTTAATTTCTCTTACACAAAGAACCAATTTTTCATTTTCATCTCCTCTTTTATATCTCTTCCTCTAACACTCTCCTCCATTTCCCAAAAACAAAACATTAGGATGTCGAATGCTACCTCTTGATTGGCATCTTCCCAGTGGATAGCCGTTGTCCCAGAGGATTTAAAAAACTACTGAACAAACATGTCACATAGAATAAAAAGATGTGGTCTGAATCCATATTCTTTTAAAGTGCTTTTTGACGTATTTCTCTATAATAGAGATTGAAAAGCTCAAGTAGCTTACCGCTAGGAACGAAGTATCATTCCATACAGCTCTCTCCAAACACTTTTTAGCCTTGCTTCCAAGAAATATAGGTTTGGTCTGCAACGTCTCTAGAAGGTTCAAATCCAACAGCACCTTGTTGGTTTTTGTATCAGAATTATATCGTGACCGTAAAGAACCCTTCAGATCATAAACAGTTGAAATATTTCTTCCATAAAAGAGGTTCTCCATTACAATCAAATCTACTTTGGTATCCTTTCCGCCCTTCAAGTACTTCACTGCAACCTAATATTTTAAAACAGAGATTTGAAATCACATTTCCTCATAATAAACACAAGAAAATATGAACATATACACTTCTTTTACCTTTTGTTTGGATGAAGATAGTAAGGAAAAGAGTCTGAGAGCAGATAATGAGTAGAAAATGTGTATGTTCTTCGGTTAAAGTGATAAAAATGTGTTTCTGATGACAAGTTTTCACCAGACATACAGAACAATTATTTGCAGTAGTAAGGTTAGCTTTATAAATATTAATAATAAAGGAACTACTGCTTGGTAAGTATTCTCACACATGTAGAAAGATTCCATTTTTAAGAAGACCCAATACTTTGTTTTCATTTTTCTTTCCCACCTCTCATCAGCTTTCCTGTCCCCAAAAACTATCTAACCAAACAAAGTGTTAAACTACTGACTAATTTTATAATGTGTGTGTGAGGCATGAGGGGGTAGAGAGAGAGAGAGGAACCTGAAAAATACCAAGAACTTTAGCAAGGCAAGTAGGACTTCCAGAGCTAAGAGATTGTGTCAAATATTTGAAGTACTCATGACCAAACTCTTCAAAAGAATCTAATTCGGTCTTCTGAATCTGTTTTATTATGAACCTTTCATCAAAGGACTTCGCAAAATAAACATTGCTCTTCCCTCCCTGAGCACTCCATCTCTCACACCGGCTTAAAGAACGTATGAAGTCCATTTCATTGGGGCAGCATTTCTTTCTCAGATCATCAAATTGTTTGGCGAAGTAACATGTTACAGAGAACTTAACCTTCCCAGTGGCATTAGAAGATTCATCATCGAAACACAACCTTAGATGTGGAGAACTTCTGGAATCTTCTGGACCTCCATAGATATAATCCAGGTCCAGAGGGGCAAAAGGCTGCCATGTTGAAGATTTAGCATTATTATAGCTAAAGCTCCAGTCAGTATACTCCTTTGAACTAAGTGCATAGGATATTATGCTTGCAGGCTCTTCATCATATATAGCTATAATCACACTATTGTGTCCCTTCTGTGGTGTAACCATCAATCTAGCTCCTTCAGGAATAAGGGATTTGTGAGATATAAAAGCAGTTGATGAACTCGGTGAAAGATTTAACTTGTGAGCTTCACCAGGCAACAATAGCTGAGAAGAAGAATAACAAGTCCCTTGAACAATGGAAGAAGGGTCTCTGATCATTTTCCGGAAGTCACCAGAAGCATGAAAGGACTTGAGTGCCGACAAATACAAAGATGATGGTGGTAGACCTTTCCTTATTCTTTCTTGAAGCCTCGTGGCTGAGTCAAAGGAATGAACTCTTGCGGTTGACCTTAGCTTTCTAAGGGAAGAATCATCAAATTGAGTTAGTTGAGCGGAAGGTGCTGTTTCGAGTAAATTGTCTTTTTCTGGGGAAGACTGATCTATTCCGGTCCAAGCAGAATCTATCTGATCAGAGAGAACAAGTGCCGAGAGTGAGGTCAGCATGGAATCTTCTTCCCTAAAGGCAGGACAATTGAGAACTTGGCTGATGATATCATTCTTGAAAATATCGGTAGAAGAAGGGAATGGGTCTGACGTTGGTGAACCCGAAACCTTATGGAGAATAGAATGGATTGAAGAAAGGCGACGGTCCCAAATGTGAGAAGCAATCATGAGGGAATGCCTCACACGGTTCATTTCGAGAATGTCACATGCTCCCCACCCCTTAATAGACGAAATCCCTTCACCAATAGGTTCAAGTAATGCCTTGTCAAGGGAAAAAAGAGGAATAAGATGAGATCAAACAGAGTACAAAAAGAAGCAGCTTTATGCTTTGATTTAATGATTTTTCATTAAGTCCTTGTTTGGTTCAAAGGAGCGAGGGGGGAGATGAAGGTGGTTAAAAAAAAATAGGGAGTGTTATTTTTGGTTCATGGAGTGCGAAAAATTAGTATTTCCAAAAAATATGCCAAAAATTGTATTTGACACTTTCCATGTCCCTAACACTTTCCTTTTTCATTGTCCCAACCTATTTCAGTTGTAGCTATGCAAAATGTGGTTCATTTTCTTAAACGCGTGTCAAGTCAAAGTGCGTGTTAGGTGAGGGATGGAGGGAGTATAATTTTGTAGTAATTAATATTGTAGAATTATTATTATTATTATTACTATTATTATTTTTATTGTAATAGTGGTAATGTAAAAGGATTTTGTTATGAAACTAAAAACTAAAATGTTTTCCCAAAATCCCCGAATTCAGGAGTTTGAGGGCTTTTATAGTTCATCCACTTTCATTCCCCTCCCCAAAGCGACACAGAACTTCACCTTCCACTACTCTCCTCCAAAATAACTAACCAAACAAAGGCTTAATGAACGGAAGCAGCATAAAAACGACAGTGTTTTGTGAGGCCAGAACTCACAATGTAATCATCCTTTTCTCTCATTAAGAGTCCTTTTAAATCCATTATGTAGTTATGTAGTTCAGTCATATCAAATGGTTCACTTTTCCCCTCAATCCCATCAAAGGCACTTGATATTTCAGCATACAAACACTTGACTTTGCTTAAGAGCTGCAAGAAGGAAACATTAGAAATATAGGAACGAAAAACAAATCAATTTTCACAGCTAAAAATTTTAGTACCTCGGCTGCTTCTTTCCTTGTCCATGCCTGCTCTGCTTTGCTAGTAAATTCAAGAATTGAAGGAGGCAGGAAAACTGAAAGCATAATAATTGGAGAATAGCGAAAAATTGCAACCATACTCCCCGATCTGACAAAGAGAAATGTATCTGATTGTGTTATCAGACATTCACACTTTTGCTGATTGTAAAGACAACTTCATTACCAAAATGAGACTATATTAGAAGCTGTGAATTGCATGTTTAGTCCCTCAACTTTACAACTTCAGCCATTTTAGTGCCTTTTTATTTTATTTTTTTTATTTTTTTGCAAGAACCAGCAATGCTTCTACCACTTAGTATTTGAGTGGCACTCTTAGTTCATCTTTGTAAAAATCTAGCCTCCCAATGTTAACCGTAGTCTGATACTGATGGTTTTTACAGGAATCTGTTTTCTGAAAGATCCTGGCTTTTGTACTTTGGTGGGTCTCCGACATTTTTTCGATGTGCAATTCCGAGACTAAAAAACAAATTATTCTATTGCCAAAAAAAATCAAACTATTGTAGTATATGAATTACATACTCCCAAAATGTAAGATGCACAGTGGTTATTATACAATTCTGACCTCCAAAAAGTAAAAAAGAGTAAGATGGGTCCACAAAAAGTAAAGGGTGAAATGAAAGATAAGGAACAAAGTGGGAAAGTAAAAGGTTAATGGTAAGTGTTCATATTTTTGGGATAAACCAAAAAGGAAAGTGCATGTTACAAAGTGGGACAGAGGAAGTACTACCTCCGTCCCCTTGGTTTGGGACAAAGGGGTGTGGGGTGGTTTTATGAAAAAGTAGAATTGTGTGGTTGGTATTGAACTGATAGTGTGAATACAGTAAGGGTATTTGTGACATTTCCAATTAAAAATACTTTTATGGAAATGAGAAAACTTCTTTTCAAGACAGAGAGATCATTTCTTTCTAACTTCCTCCTATTTTATCGCTATATTCTTTGCCTAGCATTTTCCAGGTTCCAAATGGACCCTACAGCTAAAAAGTGGAAATAAAAAAATTAATAAGTAATAAACACCAAAGAGTCACACGCACCCATAATAACGGAGACAGTCTCTTTGCAAAGAATGGCCACAACTTGCCACACGATTGGCGGTGTCATGATTCGAAAAGCTAAGTTCCAAAAACTTCCCAAACGAGAGGCCCCAAGCAGCATCAGACATAAGTACCCTACGAGTTGCTGGCGGGACCCCCTCTACTTGTGCACACCTGAGGCACCGATGCCACATCCATATCTTTTTGTCCTGTTCCCCAGGAAGTTTCACCGACGAAATGCGCCTCACATTAATTGTAAGGTTCCCATGCTGGTGAATATAGCAAATGACATGGGCCTCTGTTGGCTCCTTGCATGACCGACAAGATGCCTGGCAAGTGAAACACATTACCCTAAATAACTAAAGGGTATGTTTGGATCTAGCAAAATGCTAAAGAAAGGAAAGGGGATTGCTATGAAGTATGAACACTGTTTTCTTATAACCTTGAAAAATGAAAAAGGAATATTGTATATGTTTAAAAATTTCATGTGTATTTAGATTTCTCAGGGGGTGCTTGGTAGGAAGGTTTGGGGATCGGGGAATGGGAATGGAATAACTGATTATGCTTAAAAATATTCTACTGCGAGTTTGCTTTTCCCATTTTCGGCATACCCATTTCTTTCAGACCCATTTCCGTTCCTGTAAAGAACATATTTTAAAAAAAAATCTTTTTTGATGTACCAAAAAACTTAATATCTTTCCGAAGTATAATAGGAATAAATAAATTTTTTTCTAATGTAACAAAAAAAACTATACAAACACATTAATTCTAATGAATTGGATCAAGTATCCAGAATCGATCCATTGAATTTGAATCTATTTATTGTTTTCCCTCATGTTTATTTCCTCCTAATTCATGTTCCACTTTCTCCCCTATTTTCTTTTCCGGGCGCTTTCTAGATTCCAAACCAACCTAAAATATATTGAACTGAAGTGGAAAAAAGGTGTACTTAGTAGTGCCAAAACACATTTCCCTTTTTTACAAGGATGTGGATTTTAACCTTGAATTTTGAGGACACAAATTTATTTAAAGTAAGGAACCAAAACATATATCTTAACAGATAGAATTTACCTGGCCAAACAGATCATCCTGAAGATATTGACCGAGAGGTTTGTCAAAAAAGCCGTAAAATTGTATGCGTAGGAGTTTAGAACGTTCACATAGAGTATCATTTAGCACACAACGGCTTGAGAAGGACACTAATATGCTTTGATGACTTTCCCCAGCTGAATAGCAGTCATGAGCAGAAATAGCAATCCCATCAACAGTTCCAACGGTTGGACTTCCTGAGATTTCACCATCCTCTTGAACATTCAATAAATCATCAGCTGAAGCCGTTGAAGCTATGTTCCCAGGGAAAATATTGTCCATTCCATCTTCAACCTCTAAGGAGAGGCTGCAAGGTTCTTTATCAGCAGGTTTCTGTAGGGCTGTATTAGGAAGACTAGCACCCTCGTCGGTAAGGAAAGACGTTTCCAGAGACAAATGATATGCAGCGAACACTGCATATTGAACAACCTTCTTCACTTTCTTTAGGTCTTCACGACAACATCCCTTAAGGAGGACCTGCAGAACGCAAGGATAAAATCATAATTCCTTCACTGCTTCCAAGTTTCATCTGTTGATGCATGAAAAGGTTAAAAACAAAACAAAAGGCGTAATCCGGAGAAAATGCTAAAATAAAATTTAATATCCACTTATGATTCCACGACTATTAGTTCATCCCGGGTATTGGCCTATCCGCCTATGACTTCTATTTTTTTTATTTTTGGTCCACAGATCTGGTGAATGGCAAAAGTGGACCTCAAATTCGGTATTTTTACTGGATATGAATATCAAGCACAATAAAACTTGTAATGATCATTATGATGCCAATCCTAGACTAAAGGAAAATAAAGTAAACTTATCATAGCAAAAAACAATAATTAAGGTAGTATTAACAGATAAGTGGCACAAAAGCATTTGGAGCTCCTTTGGTAGAGCTCAAAATGGATGAAGTGGCAAATTTATGGATGTTGCTCAAGTTGTTGAATGACTGGATCAGATGAATCAGATGAGTTATCCAAAAATATAAAATATAGTTTTAAATACTCCCTCCGTCCCGCAAAGATGTTCCCGTTCGGTTTACGATGCTTGACTGACGATAAAGCAACTCGATCCCTGTTCACACTCAGATTATTTTTAGTAAATAAAATTTACATATTCAGAAACTACATTAAAACCGCTACAAAGCTTGATCAAGAAAATTTCAATTTGATAAAAATTTGATATATAAAGTAAAAGATTAGGAGTGACCTAAGTTGACCAATGAATAGTGAACGGGAACATCTTTGCGGGACAGAAGGAGTATAAAGAAAATAAATTTTACAAAAGAAAGTAGAAGTGTCAATTTCATCAACGACTTCACTATCATACAATATACAAACCAAAAAGAAAAAACTGTCTGCTTAACCGCCCAAGAAAGGGGTCATAATGTGAGACTCCTTCCTGGTGATGCACGTTCCAATGTAGGATACAAAAGACTATGTTCAACTAACCGCCTATTTTCCATTGTCAAATACCACCCATTTTATTATTTATGCATTTAAATTTCTCCGTCAAAAAGCCGCCCAAAATCAAGGCTCATAATACGGGTCCGGCTTTCTGGTGAGAAAAAGGTAAAATTAAGCTGAAGTATGCCAGGACCATTAATTTCACATCAAAAGATTTAACTAATTGTCAAATAGCCGCAACTTTACTCCAACTCATGCTATTTAGTTGTCAATTAGCCACTCAATACCACATAACATTTATTTTATCCTTGATTTTACAATTCAGATTTATTAGGCTCGTTAGCTCGTATGTTAGTAATTACATCTTTTATTTTTAATGTTTCATATTCACGAAAAAACTATTATTTCTTAGATATTACAGTCAAGTCATATACACTAAGCAAAGTGTATGAAAATTATACTATAAATAATGACCATTTCTCACTCCAACGCCGCAACAAGTCACGACAATAATCGCAGTAAATCCTAATAGAAATGGCATGTGACCTCTCATAAGGGATATTGACCAAACTAGTGGGCATTAATTAAACATAAGGCTAGCAAGGGTTTTTGAGGTGTCAGTCCATTTCAAGGGAGAAGAGACACTAGAAATAATCTTCCATGATGCAGAGGTAAAATATATATATATACTCTCACAGCAAAGATCATACATTTTCTTATGTTGTGAATTACATTTATAGAAAAGATAAGAAGTTTGTAATGTTGTATGTAGTATAATTATACTACATACCAATTAATGCAACAACTATACCATATGATTTATAATGACTTAGCCCAGAAGGCCAGAACTGAATTAGATTAAAGGGTTTGTTTAGAAACTTAAGCCTCTCTCAGTGTACGGACTCCCGCAAATCTGTTATCATTTATTAAAAATATGCCACCAAAACTATTTTTGGAAAAGTAAAGTTATTAAATAATAGCAAATATTAGTTATTCAATTATAGAGTGTATAATAAAGACATTATTGCACAGGGAGGTAGAATCCATGCTACTGTTAAGTGATCACAGTTGCCATTGTACAAGTAAAAATCAAAGAAAATAGAGTTTATGAGGTGAAAACTTTTCTAGAGGTAGGTAACTATCAAACATACTACATACAAGACATCTCATGCATACACGCTATTGTTCATTAGTAGAACTCAGTTAATGTAAATTTCATCTATGGACATCCCAAACTTTGTGTATGATTTCCAGTCGTTTGAAATCCTACAAGCACAAAGGGTGATGGATGATAAATTTATTATCGGTAAGATTCCATTTATCACAATTTATAATGTTTCAACGCAAATAGTGTAGTATTTATTCACATGATAACATGTTATTCATAGACATCATTGGAAAGTTTTTGGAAGATGTGCACCACAAACATACATTATAAATGGCAAGGGTGAGACTAATGGAGTTGACACTAGAGGATCCAGAGTAAGCCTTTTGAACTATTCACACGAGTTTTCATCATTAACAAAACCAGTACCAACCTATTGTCATCATTAATGCATTTACAAATTGTATTTGTATTAATACTTCAATGTTACTATTAATGTATACAAACACTACGATGTATTTTTACAACATTTTATTCTGTGCATCACACGTGTGAGAATCTAGTGACGCCCAAAGAAAAGAGTAACTCATGCAGAGTGTTTTTCCATCATTATAATCACATTCAGCCAACACAATGAAGCAAATTAGTGCTTGTGAAAAAACTTGATATTAGGCTGAAAATGCAGCCTACCAAGTGAGCCCTTAAATAGCATGGGTAATAGCATGCAAAGGCACAGTGAACATTACCGTGCAACCTAAACGCCTGGTACATCCATCAAAAAACATCAAGGTTCTGGGAGGTTTCTTGTTAGATTGGTTGTTGGAAGCTTCATGCTCCTCGTACACTTTCTCTAACCGAAAGAGTTCACAATGGCCCAATCTTGCCATAGCTATTTTATCTATTGATGGGGTTATAAAAGCACCGGTGCACCGAGCAATCCTCTCTAGTAATGGCCTCTTAACATTTAAAACCAAAGATATCTCTTTTGCCAATAGAAGCTCCTGAGCATATGACGACACACTTTTCTCCACAAGGACCACGTTTGGATGGTGCGCCTCTATTTTTGAAACAATTGTCTTCATGTGATCTTTTTCCTGTCAGCATAATGGAATCCATTTATATACACTGCCCTAAACCCTATGTAGGTTTCATTTCGGTAGCCTTATCTGGTTTTCTCCTTATAAGCACAATAATAAGTTGGATAAGTAAGCTATTGACTTACTTATTTGGCTGATGGAAGGCATTTACCATATGTTATGCTTTCACAAAATATAGCCCATCCAACAATTCATTCAACCACTATAGCCAAATAACTCTTCTTAACATATACCCCCGCCCTTACTATCTTATATCAATAAATAATACAAAAGGGAAATAAAGTAGAACCTGTTGAAGTAAGTTGTCAAAAGAAGCAAGTTGACTGTGAAGCCTTTGGTACTCCAGTGCCCCTCCTAAGAGAAGCAACCGAGCATTTTTATAGTGAGATGTCATGCGCTTGTGTTTGATGTTCTTCGTACAAACTATCCCTTTGATAAATGTGCTGCAATTAATGGGAAAAAACTTGTATTATTATATTAAGCGGAGTTGAGTTCTTTAGGACCATTTTTTTGGCTGACATGCATTAATGAAAGAGCACCAAACTCAATCTGGAGTCAGTCAAGACACTCAGTTGTCTTTAATATCATTATATTTTATTATCTTCCGCTGTAAAAGAATAAAGAGAATGCTCCATGAAAATTTGAATGGTCTAAGAGTTTATGTGTTGCTTAATGAAATTTCAAGAGTCAAATGGTAAGTTGATCAAATATAATCATACATACACACTGATATGAGCAAGCAAACCTTTATTATAATTATTATTACTATTATTCTTATTATTCCTATGTCTGCTTTAGGCAGCTTATTAATCAACACTTATCTCCTTTTATAATTATTCCTATTCTGCTTTAGGCAACCTCTTAGTTAGCATTTATTTCTTTTTATAATTAGGACTCTTGCAATAGCAATATAAGGATCATCAGTACTATTCAATAAACAGCTTGGGAAGAATTAATTCTTGTGCCTCTTGGCAAGGTCGGGCACTGATCAATTCTAGATTTGAAACGAGATACCAACCACGCCCGTAACACATACATAGATGCATACATGCATACAATTTTACTTTTTCACTTACGATGTATTGTATACACACACACACACACACATATATATATAGATAGATAGATAGATATCATATATATGCATATTATGGGAAATTAATCCTGATAGTCACTCAACTTAGTAACAAAACATTAATTTGATCCATTTCAGACATGTAAGTTTTATTTGAGTTGGAGATTAACCATCTAGCTTTACTTTGATCATTTCAATTTATCTAAAAGCTCATTTGAAAGAGAAAACATCACAATTCGACTGGTGACGAGTGCGGTGAAGTTGAGTGAAATAATCTAGAGTTTTGTAACAATGGTTTATCAATTTAAGGATTTGAATGATTTAACATTTACGGGAAAAAGGAGCATAACTGTGATTGTATAGGAGAATAGCATATATATAACAGAATGGATACAAGAGTGGTTCTCACCTGTCACCTGCCTTGCCAGAAGCTACACATTTAACCTTTACATAGTTACCAGGATCCATGCTTCCACCTCTACTAGTATCTGGCTTCACAAAGCTTGCAGCTTGCCAAGCTATGGTGGTAACTACATCAAGCCACTCCTCATCCCCACCATCTTTTCCTCCCATTGTTACTCCTTCGGCTTGCAATAACTGTGACACAAGAGCCCTAAAATGCCCCTGAACCACTCCCCTTATAGCCTCCTTCTTTTGACCCTCATTCAGTTTTTCCTTTGACAAAAAGGTGTCATCCGACGACTCTCCAATGTCATCATCATCCTCGTCATCGTCATATGTAAAGAAATTGTTTTCCGTCTCATCATTTTCTTCATCAGGAGGAGGAGGTATCCATATGAGACGATGTAAATTATTACCAATGTCATTTAAGGTTTCTTGGTCAAATGAACTCTCTTTGAGAGATCCTGTGGACCCCGTGTGTTCTTGCTGTACAGAATGCCCAACTCTATTGGAAGTAAAATGGATCCTAGAAGAGGGGCTGTCATTAGGACTTGATCCAACTGACTTAATATTGCGAAGTCCATGATTAGAACTAATACTAATTGAATCTATATCTGAAGAAGAAGTGTCGTGGCTGCAATCAAATGATCGGCATAGAAATTCATTTGTGGAATCTTCCGCTTCATCATCACTCCTACTTTACAATAAATAAGTTCCTTTTAGTAAGTAATAATAAATAAATAGATAAATAAGTCTACAGCTCAGTTTTACTAACTTGGTAAAAAGCATTCAAATCATGCAACTTAAATTGTATCGCCATCAAGTCCTAACCATTAGCGCATATGCGTTTTAAAAAAAAAACAGAAGTTTTATTAGTAACTGAAAACAGTTACAGAGGGATGGGGACAAAACCAAGGCTTATAGCCAACACCTCCAGAGGGGCATACACCCTAAGAGGAGTTTGCATATACCTTATTACAATGTACAAGGCAGAGAGGTTTACTCCAGATGAGATTAATGATCAAGTATTGCATATATGTGAAGGTGCAGCATATAATTGATATATATGCACACTCTTTACCGTAATTGAATTAAAAAGGGGCTAATTGAAAGAAACCAAAACTCGAGTGCCTTAAAGCCTTGTTTGGTCGGGGGATTTTGTAGGGGGTCAGATTGTTTTGTTGATATATTCTTGCACTTATATGGTATTATGGTTGGAATGAAATTTAAGGTGAAAATTTATAAATAAAAAAAAACGATTCAAGTAAACTTGTAATTATTTTAGCACGAGGCATTAATCAAGGAGGTAAATGAGTAAATCAAAAACAATCTTCCCCTCCAAAACTAAACAAGCCCCAAAAGGTTTTCTAAATTCCTATGTGCAACATGGGTCATACCTGCTTGGTGAGCCACGTACAGACGCTGAAGATGGATTGCTTGTAAAAGATGCAAAACTAGTCTTTGCAGCATCAAGGGAATATGCATCAAATATGTCACCGCTACTACAACATGGTGACTGAGGTTCTGGGTTTTGTTTGGGGGAGCAATTACTGTTAGAACCCATTTCAAGTAATCCAGTGAAATAGGTAGAGTCCCAAGAAATCCAAGATTTAACCTTCCCTATCAAATCTGGTAATAAACTATCCCGTATTTTCATAAACCAAGAATAATCACCACATCTAATACTATGAAAATTCCCAGAGGCTTATAATATGACAGGGAAACTATCAAACCCACAATAAAAAGTAGTGGGTCTCTACAAAGTTATAGTGTATATTGTTTTTCAAAAGAGAGCAATATAACTCAAGAAATTCCACCCCTGGAAACCACTAAATGACCAAAAGTAAAAAAGAAAACCCTATAAAACCATTAGGTTCAGAGTAATCTGACTGTATATGGAAAAAGTAAAGGTATGAATATGTGAAGCAACTCAGCCCGCAATAAGCCCAACTCAGATCATCAAGCTCAAATCCGAAACTAGAAACCAGATCAGATTCTCCAAGGATCTCATTAATGGATGGAACAGTAAAACCGACCAAACAGTAAAGTTCAAAACATTAGCACAAACAGCGACCTGGAATAGTAAAGTTCAAACAGTCAATAACACGGGAGGAAGTACACGGAAAAGAGGAACTTTGAGAAAGGAGCGGATTAGATAACGAAGAGAATGAGAATGAATATTAGGAATAGGAAAAGTACGATGACGGTTCTGGCTCGCATCTCCATAAGCACAGCCATCATCTTCCTCGTCGTACACCTTAAATTCTCCAGCGAAGAAAAGCAAAACGCAACAAAAACAGGCAAAAGGAAAAAAGAACTTTCTTCCTCCCTCCCTCCCTGTCTCTCTCTCTATCTCTAACCCTTCTTCACTTTAACTTCCATTTTCATTTTTCACTTCTCCAGCTCTCAGCTAACATTAAAATATCCGGCACAAGTTGCTGTTTTCATGTGCATATACAGTCATATATTCATACAGATATATATTAAATTACAGTGAAATGCACCGCGGTTTTTTTGGGTCTCTTTTTTACTTTCTTTTTCTCCACTTCTTCAACCGGAGGCCCCATCTGTCCCGTTCTACGCAACTTCGGGAAGGAATGAATCGTTGAGCTAAATTCATTAGTGCTGTGTTTGGTTGACAATAGAAATAGAGAAATAAAGAAGAGAGATATAATGAAAGACACCTCACAAGCAAACAAACACGTGATAAAAATAATGGATTTTGTGTGATGAGTTGTCTCATAATCAAAATAAATAAGGAAATCATTTTAAATAGGACTAAAAACGAATGTATATTTCAAAATATGAATATCATATTTTTATTCCCAAAATATGACTAATTAATGCACCATTTTGACAGTATCATACTTTAAACATGACAACATTTTCAAAACTTGGCAGTAATTACTCTTTTTTGGGAATAAAAATATTGCAGTCACATTTTGTGATTTTCAAACTTTTTTTCTCGGAATTTTCCCAAATTAAAATAAAGTTAAAATGATTTTCTTGTTAAAATTGTCGAAGACAGTAAATTTAGCTTTTTACTAATAGAGTATTTTTAATTGTAATTTCAACAAATTCACTAGATTTGAAGGATCCGTATCATTTTGATGTTACCAACCAGGATTGAATACAAAATCATAATTTCTTTAAATGATAACCTTTTTGAAAAATATATTAGCTAAAAGGATGAATGGTTTGGAGTGAATGGGGTAATAAAGAATTAGGGAAAATAAGTATAGAATTTTGTAAAAAGAAAAAGAAAAAATTATACTCTGTATACGAGTATCATATTGTAACGGTATATTTATAATAAAAAGGAAAAATTGAAAATAATAATCTCAACTATTACCAGTCCGCTGAAAATAATCCCAACTATTGATTATTTTTGTATAATCCCAACTATATAGACCATCCGCCAATAATGGTACATGACCAGATATTACCTCTATAAAAAGTGAATTTTAAATAGAAATTAAGCGTAAAAATTAAAAGTTGAGATTATTTATAGGGATTACTTGTTATATCTCATCTCATTCACTTTAGAAACTACAAGAATTTATTCATAGGGACCATTATTGGCGGAAGGTCCCTAAAGTTGGGATTATTCTGGAATAATCAATAGTTGGGATTATTATGAGCGGACCGCCAATAGTTGGGATTATTACAATCAATTTTTCCTAATAAAAATAATGTCATGTTTGATATTACCAGACTTTAAACATGATAATATATAATCATAATTGTCTTAGTGACAGTATTTTCCGAATATGACAATAATTATTCGTATTTAAAACATAATTAACACACATTTTATAGACTAGATCAAATCAAATCAAAGTTGATTTAATACACATAAATAGACTTTAATCAAACTTGACTTAAACAAATCATATCACATCAGACTAGATCAGAAAATTTGAATCTAAACCAAAACTTCCTCAATAATAAAAATAAGCAAAATAAATTCTCATTTGTCAAATACTACGTACGGAGTATAATTTAACCGGTATGACTGAATATTTTTCAAGAAAAGTGCTAAGAAGAAAAGTTCAAGCTATTTACTTGAAGTCAAACATCTCAAAATTAGAGTAAAAATAAAGCAATATAGTTTCTTTGAATAGGACTTATTATAAATTTCTCCTAAATATGAGTAAATTGTTTTCATATCTTCAACTAAAATCATACTGCCATATGATTTCGTGAATATTGTCATGAAGTGTTTTCACCTTTTACCTGAAAGTCAATATATATATTCCTAAATTGTTGTCAATTTTTTTCCAAAATCATATTGTCACATATTTACATTATCACGCATTAGATAATACCATTGTCATAATATAGAGTTTTATTCAAGCAAAGCACTAGTCAGTCCTATCTAGAAAAAGATTTATATACTTTTATTAAGAAATTGACATTATGTTCAATCTAATTTAGGACAAGTCTTTTAGTTTTACATTCTATTTCAAAGCCAATTTTGCTCATCAAACCAGCTATAACCCAAAGACTTCTAAGTTGTAACATTTGTCAACACTTATAAGCGCCTAGCTCCCTTTATTTCATATGAATGAGGTTGTCTTTACTTGGATTGTTTTTAGTCTCAGATCTGACCAGACCAGACTTAAACAGATCAGACTTAGGATGTTTTTACTTGAACTGTTTTCATTCTCAGACCAGACTTAAACACCCCAACAGACTTTCATAGTTATATAAAATATAAAGAGATCAGACATTTATCAGTCCAAATGAGATCAGTTTAGACCAGACCAGACTTAAATAGACTATATCAGACCAGACCAGTCTTAAACAGATCAAACCAGACCAGACTAGCAAATTAGAGTCCATAGCTCAAAGACGCTTCAACAACCCAACCGCTTTTTTTTTCTCCAGGGGGAGCTGGGGAGGCCTGGAGTAATCAGGACTGAAACTCACTCCATTGAACTTTGAACCCTTATGTGCCTAGCGGGTTTCAAACTCGAGACCTCCCACTAGGCACGGTAATCTCATAACCAGCTGGGCTGGAATGCTTGGTTAGACACGGGCGGATGCTTGGACCAAACTCAACATATATATGTTGACAATGAATGAATACCCTAAGAATATAATTATTTGGCTTCTTTGCTTTGTGATAACTTGGGTGCTAAAGAACAAATTAATTATTATTATCATTATCATTATTATTGGAGTATTATTTTGTTTCCTTTTGTATAGTTATCTCTCAGCTCGAAAACATTTATTAAGATTCTTTTGTAAGTGCATACCATTTAGGTATCTTCACGTAGTAAATATTTTTTATCAGCACACAATTACTCACGTATCATGTATATATGACATTAATGATAATATTTAAAATATAAACGTAAACTAAATAAACAAAATACATGAAATTACATTTATAGAAATTCTAGGGAGCGGGGGGGACAAATTAAATGGATAATCAAAGTGTGGTACTCAAAGTCAAATAAAGTTTTAAATTTTGTGATCTTGACGTACGGAATCATTCAATTGAAGCAATGTTTTCTTCTCACTACAAAAAAACGGTTGTAGTCACGGACCGTAGTCACGGATTTGGTCCGTGACTACTTTGTCACGGTCGTAGTCAAGGACTAGTCACGGACTTTCAAAAAAAATTAGTCACGGATAAGACCGTGACTACGTCTGTGACTAAACTTAGTCACGGTCATGTCCGTGACTAACATCCTCCGATAGCCCCGATTGCGTTTCCGGCGTGCCTTATTTTATTCCGGCGATTTAGTCACGGATTTGTCCGTGACTAAATCCGTGACAAAATAAAAAAAATTATTTTTCTAACTCCCAGGAATTACTTCACAACGGCATTCTGTACGGATAAAATTAGTCACAGACATGTCCGTGACTAATTCCGTCACTAAATTTAATAAAATTATTCGCGGTCGTCATTTGCACGTCCGTCACACACGTGTATAAAAATCGTTTTTATACAAAGTGTTTTTAAAAAACAGTTTGTAAACTGTTTTATATAAAAACTGTTTTTATAAAAAATGGTTTTTTATAAAAAGTGTTTTATATATACTGTACGGTTTATATAAAAACTGTTTTTATAAAAACTGTTATGTATAAACTGTTTTTGTAATTTATTTAAAAAAGTATAAAACTGTTATTTAGACATTATAAAAACCGTTTTTTGTATAAAACTGTTTTTATAATTTATAAACACAAAGTATACTGTTTTTATAGAAAACAGTTTTTATAAAAACTGTTTATTTTAAAAGTATACTGTTTTTTATAAAAAAGTATACTGTTTTTCTAGAAAAAAGTTTTTATAAAAAAAGTATACTGTTTTTATAATCTATTAATGTATTAATAAACTGTTTTAAATAAGTAAACAGGTTTTTTATAAAATATTTTTTGTAAAAAACTGTCTTTACAAACTGTTTTTTAAAAACTGTTTCTATATAAAAACCTTTTTTTATAAACTGTTTTTGAAAAAAAAAAAGAATACTGTTTTTATAATTTTTTAAAACTGTTTATAAAAAGTGGATAAAACTCATATATCTAAAACATAAAAAAAATGATGTCCTCTCATGTAAACTTTGCAAAAAGTTTAACATGTTACCTCTAAGAGCAATTTATTTCCAAGTTATAAAAGAACTTATGGTGAAAAAATATGGACCCCTCATATTAAACTTATACAAAGTTTAATATGTTATACACATTTTCAATTGATAATACTTATATAAAAATTTGATCTTCTATTATAATCACACTAACAAAAAACAAAATAGATTAATGCATTTTAGATGACCGACGAACAATCGACATCGGCTCCCCGCCCTAACTATGCGCCCATCACCGAAGCCGAGCGCAACAATGAAAGAGTTGTTTGGGTGACCCCTCACCAAGTTGCTCAGTAAGTAGTTATGAACAAACCTTACCCCAAATAATTTTATATAATGTCAAATAATCTAACCAAATCCTATATAAATAAATACTATTAATTTTTTGAAGTGACAAAGAAGTGTTCGAAGACATCAAAAACATAATAGGAGGACACTTTCTTGGCAATTGGCCCACCTACACGGATGTTGACCCCAAGGTCCGCGAACTATGGTGGAATCTATTCAAGGTAAAAATAAATGAATGTTCCCTGCGTAATTGTAGTAGCCTAATACTACCTCCGTTCTCTTTTAGTTGCAACATTAGACTTTTTGCACTATTCACATATTCTACTTTGACTATATTTTATTAATTAATGTATTATAAATTAATTTTTTTAAAAAAATTGTTAAATTCTTCTCATTCTAAATTTTCAAAATATGAATTTTTTAATTTTTTTACTAATAAGGAATGAGAGATATTAATGGTCAAATCTATGCATCGACAAACGTGAAATGTTGACTGTTGCAATTAATATG